TTCACCAGATGAATATAGGATGCCAGTTAAATCTGAATTTCAAACAAACAATAAGTAAAGTTTTAGTGTAAGTATATCCCACTTTAAATATTGCATAGGACATATTTATACTAAAAAAACACCTAGTGGCCATTTATCTGAAATTCAAGCTTATTGAGCATTTGGTATATTTATTTGCAAATCTGGAAACTCTACCCAGGAGCTTTATTTTGCTTCCCCAAAGTAATCAGACAGACCTTCACTATATCAGATTAGCCACCACTTTAGGGAAAATAAGAAAAAATTATCAGAGCAACAATGGACTACCACATTGCTCACAACCAAGGTTTCTGGGAACAGGGAAGAATTAGAATGGGGTACTTTATGACAGGCCACATAGTCAGAACTTATTGGTAGCAAAGACCTAGTTATAATATAGCAAGGATCATTGTGACACCAACCAGGAGCTGGGGTGTAGCCCAATGATAGAACACCTGCCTTGCATATATAAGGTCCTGAGTTCAATCCCCAATACAGCAAAAAAAGGAGAGAGACAGAAAACAACAACTCATCTCTTCTGGGTGTCATCAGTAATGTGAGGACACATTTGATTCATCTCAGCATCCTAAGACCACCGTGAGCTCCACCAGATGACATATCAACTGGTGGAGGCCAGAAGTAGTATCTTGTAGAGGCCAGTACAAGTGACACTCTCTGTGGCTTTTGACAATAATACTGAAAATTAAAATTCCTGAAGACATGATTTCTTTAATCTGACTCAACTAATTCAAAAGCTAGAAATTTTCAGTAGTGTTTAAATTCTTTCCTTTCTTTTCAATTTGCATGGAAAAAAACACAAGCTCATAGGAACTTAGAAGCTACAGGCTTCTCTTTGGGCAGAGGCTACAGTGGCCCTGAGATTTTAACATGAAAGGATCCAGGCTCTCCTCTGAGAAGCTACTTATTAAAGTGCTGAGATATACATATATATTTTTTCATTTTTAAAAGATAAGGAATACCATTTGCACTTGGAGTTGACCTATGTGTGTGTGTGTCTACAAAGAGAGGACTCAGCCTATAGAAAGATACAGCTAAAAGGACACAGTGGCCATCTGGGCTGGAGGCCATACTGACAACATAGACCCTGGTCCATCCGTTGAAGGGTTACAGGAGAGAAGATAGTGCACTGGGTATGGTGTTGGCAGGCTTCCTGATGCTTTAGAATTTTAAAGCTGACCTGGAATCTGAATCTCAGAATCTGTAGTGCTGAATTTCAGAAATCTGTTGTTACCAGCAGTCAGGCCAGAGAGCCTTCCTGGATTCCACCTGGCTGGATCTAGCCACCTTCCCACATAAGAAATAGGCAAATGATGGAAAAAGTAAATATGAATTGTATGCAGTTTGGTCAAGCTGGAGAGAAGAAGCTGTATAAAATTCAAACAGAAAAAAAAGAGTTGCATAAAATTTGCTTTTTCTTTTTTTATTATTTGCCTGTTTCTCATGTGGGCAGATCCAGGCAGGTTTCCTGGCTGAACTGCCAGATAACAGAATCACCCTCATTAGCCAGTGGTAAAAAGAAAAAAACACGCCTGGGGGTCATCGTCAAATGAACAATTATTGTTTATATCAGTCACTTAGCACATCTGTGGTGTTTTAAATTCCTATCTCTTTATATGTGTCATCTCCTTTTCTTTTAAATATTGAAAAGAAATGTAAGGCTTATGTAAAAATGTCAAGTACAGTGTAAAACTTTTATCTGGGTCATTTAGAAGCAACTTCTTGACAATATTCTCCCCCCACTTCTCTCTCTCTT